CTCAATTAATAGCCACTGGATGAATCATCTGGAAGGACACTCCTGTACCCAGATCGCCTGCTTCTAGCCAGGGACTTAGAATCAACTGCATCATAGAGTCAGCGTGGCATAGTGGTCAGGCACACAAACTTCGCAGCCAGACAGCCTGGGCCTCTTATTAAATCTCAGTGTCTTGGTTCCCCATCTGCAAAGCGGGAATAATAATGGTACCTTCCTCACAGAGGTGATATGGTGATTAAATATTATTATATACAGAGCACTTAGCACAAATTAGGTGCTATTTTATGTGTTTTAGTGATTGAGATCATAGATGCATAGACAGTGACGACTACAGGGACTGACAGGAGACATTCAGACTATCATTTCCATTTTACAGGTGAGAAAACTGAGTGTTATCTAGAGTAAAAGGAAGGGACTAACCTGACATTACACAGCTAGGAAAATCTCTCAAGTCTGTGCACCTTTGTCACAAATTTACAGATCATTATTTTCAGAGAAAAATGAGATTTGGAGCCGAAGAACAACATTCCTTTCTTTATTCATTCTTCAAATACTTGTGTGGCTCATAGTTGATGCTCAGAATGTGTTTTTTTTGAATGAAATGAAGAAATGTCAAGGAGCCCCTGTGTTTAAATGAAACAGCCTGCTTTGTGGGTTATCAAGTTCTGGCTTGAGTGCCTGACGTCTCATTGTGCCCATGCCAGGCATAACTAATCAATCATTGCACGCTTTTGCTCTGAGCCTGAACTCAGCCTCAGAATCCTTTTTATCACAGTCCATTATCAATTGATCATGCTTGGCCCATCAGAGGAAAGCTACGTGCCTTCCTCAGTCTGATCTCAGAAATCTCTTTGATTATGTGGTTTCCTTCTTCTTTTCCTGTCATCCTTCTCTCTCGGGCTCTTTCACTTCTTATTTCCCACCCTTCCCACCTCCATTTCCCCTTCTCTCAATAACGTGGACCCAGAGGAACAGCCCTTTCCGTTCTGGTGGAGACGTACCTGCAAGCTCAATGCTCCCACTTCCCTGCTTCAGTGGAGAAGGTGAGGTGGTCCAGCAGGTGTCTTGGGTCCCTGACCCAGCTGCTAAAAGTCCCGCCTCTTGGAGGGGTTGGGGCCTCCCAGCTGGCCCTGTAGATGCAGAGTATCTCGAGGGAGAGACAGGATGGCTCATCGGCCCGCAAGTGGACTGGCTGCTCCCAGCTCAGCCCAGGCTCTGCCCTCCTTCAAGGAAGTTTACCGTAGACTCTCCCTGCCCTGTTAAACAATCTCTCCAGGAAGGAGGAAGTTGGTCTAAAGTCTTGCCTCGCTGAGGAGTGGCCTGGAGCCTGGCCGGCACACAGGGAGAAGGGCTGTGCCTGTTCTCCTCCCCCCAGAGCTATCCTGGCCTCTGCAGGTGAGGTTTGGGCCGGGATCTAAGCAACTTAATCAGGAATGAGATACCACAGTCTGCCTTAAAAATCAACCACAAAACTCCCTGAAAAAAAATCTGACCCCATTCTGACAACCTCCCCAGACCTTGGGGACAGGGTGGGGCTGGTAGAGGCCTTGGTGAAGATGCAGGTCACCTGCTCTAGGGCTCCGGACTTGGGTGGGGGCCTGGAGGAGCTGATGAGGTGGGGGTGGGGCCTGGGCAAGAACCAAAGGCAGACTTTGGGGGACAAAGGAGGAGGGACAAAGGCGACTGCAAGAGGTTGAGCCTGGATGATGGTAAAGAGGGACCCCTTGATCAGCAGTGAGGAAGAGGGAGAGGAAGTGGTTTGGGGAAAAGATTCTGGATTTGGGTTGGGGCACATTGGATGAGAGGCTAAAGCTGGAGAG